TCTCACTGGGAACCACCTCTCTCAGATAGCCCTTGGCACAAAAGCCTGAGAGTAATCTCCTTGGGAAGGCGGAAAGCTCTTCAACCAGAATCTTCTATGATAGAATGGCATTCCAACGGTGCCATCAAAAGAAGCAGGACTCTTAATTTAGCCATTGAAAATACTTTTCAACATTGAAATAGTCAGTTGGCAGTTTAAAAATAAACCCTTTAATAAAATAGCTTTGAGTTGGTAAGAGGATAGTCACTTCCTTAGATAATATGACATGTGTTGCTAAAACTGACATTCATTCACTTGCAAATTTCATTATTGAAATGGCACACTTAGCTTATTTAATATTACCTAAAAGATGCTAACAAAATTCTACTTCCAGCCTTTTCTCAGAATGTACTTTCAGGATCTAAGCAAAAGTTGAAATTCAGAAGCACAGATACAAAGCCTAGAGAAATAAAACTGAGATGCAAAGAAAAGATTCTCCCTGACCACATTTATCACAAAGCCCCCAAAGCATTCAAAGTTCTTACTGAAACCAAATATATTTATACGTTCAAAAGCTAAAACAAGGTTCTTTTGGTAATGCTGGCAATTACCAAGATGAGGTGGCCCATGAGCGATTCTTCTAGCTTCAGCTAACAGTACTGCAGAAGCTGCTATTGTTACCTCTTGGGTTTTCTCAAACTTCAGAGAGTCTTAGCCAAAGCAAACTGAGAGGACATGATAGCCTCAGCCTCTCGGCTCCTCCACTGCCCACACATGCCACTGCTGTGGCTGTGCCTATACAGCCAGAAACGCTACCCCGTTCATGGAAATATCCGCCAACAGAAAATAGGTGTCTTAAAGAATCCTTACTGCCATTGTAGAAGCATCAAGATTCTTGCCTAGATCCTCAACATAATTTTTTCTCACAGGCCGTATTGCTCGGGCTAGGAGAAGGGATGGGCACAAACGTGGACCTTCATCGGTACCTTGGCCTAACCATTGTATTTTCTCTATGTGAGGTGCTATAGGATTCATAGTCACAGAATGTGGCATCCAGATATTATTTAAGACCCCGTCATTAGGACTTTAGGGCCTAAATTGACAAGTCAATTAAAGGGTCTAACTTTGAGATATCCATCTGAGAGACAGTTAAATTTAACTAGAAATAATTACAACCCACAGTCATTGTTTTCTACTGAAATTGAAATACTAAAACTTCAAAGAATTATATACATTACTAACTGTTGAAGAATTAAGCAAAACCACATACTTAGTGTACTATAGTGTGTGGCAAATATTCACGCTCTTGTCATGTAATGCCATAATATTTATTAAAGGGAGCAGCAGATGGGAAAAGTTCAATTTAATTTAACCATTACTGTATTCTAGGCACTCAGGTTACAAACATAAGGACTATTGTCATTGAGATTTTAGGAACATGAAAAGTGGGCTAAGGGAGAATTGAAAGTGCATCCTATAATAACAAAGTACTTTTCAAATAACATTGAATAGCTGCATATGCAATTAAAAGAAATTTTAAGAGCTCGAAAATCATTAAATTAAATATATCAACCTTTGAAAGCATCTCCCGACTTAAATATATGAAAAGATGATTCTAGACCCTGGGCACGTATTCAGAGAAAAATCAATTTTCTGGCATTCTTCCCATCACACATTTCATACAAATTTAATAATATACTTTTTCAACTCACTTTGCGTTACATGTAGTAAGTGGGAACTCCATGAAAATCTGCACTTGGAATTAAACTATATGAAGCTACAGAGGAAATTGGGAGAGTTGCTGCTGCCTCTGAATTTTGAGAGAGCTTCAAGTTAGCATTTCATAGCCAACCAACTTGGGAACTAATGTTTAGCAATGCCCCAGACCACATACTGAGAAAGGACAGGCCTGTGATCTCATATGGTACAGGAGGA